AACATCAGGCTTAATGAAAGAAACCAGAAAGAAATTGCATATTGTATTAGTCATGCAGAATCGGTATCCATGCAGACAGAAAGCCAAGCAGTGCTTGCCAGGGGTGAGGGGCTGAAGGAAACAGGAAGTGCCTGCTTAATGCTACAGGAACTCCTTTTAGGGAGATGAAATTGCCTTGGAATTAGACGGAGGTGATGATTACACAATCTTCTGAATGTATTAAATGTCATTTTTACTTTGAAATGATTAATTGTATATTATACAAATGCTTTCTTAATAAGATAATAATAATAAATATCTAATCATGCTAAGTACAGATTCTATGTTAAATTTCTATCCGGGATGTAAACTTCCCCAGACCCTCATAGAATGCATAAATGGTAATCATCCCAAAAGAAAATATAAATAGATGTTATATATTAAGATATGGGTCTTTTAGAAAGTAAGAATATATGTTTTTATTCAGGTATGCAAGTCATAAATTAAAGTGACTTTTTATATTTCAATGAAATTAAAATAAGATGTAAGCCAAATAGCCAAGTTTAAGGAGTCAATGAAGTAATTTCCATAATGCTTGTGTGATGTTTTGTTCTATTAAATCATAACTTTTTTATACTTAATCATAATCTCAATTCATCCTGCTTATTAATGGAATCTAGTTAAACTGGAATTAATTTTTTTTTCCTATGAGTTTTTTTTTTTTTCACAAAACCAACCGTGTTTCCAAAGTATCATATAAATTTATTTAATGTTGGCATTGATACTGAGAAATGCTTATTGTATAATTGTATCAATTGAAAGCTGAATTATAACTAAAATTCTTTTAAGTTCATTTAATAATTTATTAATATTGTCATAATAATTAGTATATATTGTACCCTTATTTTCAGCATACTTAAATTGTGCATAAAACATTTTAAATGGTCACAGTCAAAGAATCCTTAACAGCTATCTTCTGAATTTCTTTATTCTATTTAGGTCATAATTGTCCTCAACTGTGACCTCAGGTCTAGCTAAATATTAACCTTGATCTGCTTCACAAACCACAGTCATTCTAAAGACTGACTCTATGATATGCTTGAAAGGGGAAGTGTCACTAGGTTCCTAAATTTGTAAATATGAAACACATGGAACTTGTATAACTTAAATAAAATTTAAAAAGTAGACCTAAAAAAAAGAAAAGAAAACTGGCTGTAGTATCTGCTTGAATTCCTTCAGCCTGTCACTTTGACATTACCCAACAACCAGTATATGCTTCCTACTTATGAACTCGGTGACTTATCACAATGATGAATGAGGCATGACAAATGTTTTCAAAGATTTGTGGTTTGATGGAATCAAAAGACAGTTTAACTAACCCTAATAAAATGGAATACATTTTCAAATACACCAGAGAGGAAAGAAAATAGAGTTCACTACTCAGCAGGCATGATACCTAGTATGTGCATCATTAAAGAGTAATTGACAGAGAAGCACAATGAAATGACTCTCAAGGGATGTATAGGAGCCACAGGTACAGTATCTCAGACTTCAACCTGGCTTCCTCTCTTGGAGCTCTGTGAGACCTGGCTACTTTCTTTCACTGTAGATTGTTTCTTTAAACTCTGAATTGCACTTGGACATCTGGTTCTAATGCAGATTCCTGACACCTCCATGGCTTCCTGTGGGGGACCTTGTACTTAACCAGACTGTCAGGACCTATCAGCTCTCTGCAGTCTTGCAAGTGCCCTGGTCAGTCTTCTGCATCATCTCATCCTGCAGACAAGTGGGAAGAGTTACAATATTCAGAACTTCATGTCTTTGTTGTTATTGAACTCCACATCTTATGAAACAGAAATAAAAGTGCTGAATTGCAGGAAAAAAGGAATTTGCAAGACCTCAAATACAATATGATGGGCAGAAATAAGATTGAAATATATTTTAAAACATTGTTACTACTGTGTTTATAGTTATATTTAATTCACATGCTACCTCTTCTATGTGATTTCATTCAAGCAGTCAGCTTACTTAGAATTAGTTACTTGTGCATATATTCTACAGAAGTTTACATTTGATCACTCCTTATCTCCTTGTCCAATCTATGATATAAACACCTGCCCTTCTGAAATAGATTGGGAGAAATCTAAGAGAAAGTGTTCTCCAACTGGTTCCTTCAGGGAATTCATCCTTTTATTCATTGAACAAAGGGATTTTGCTGCAATAATGTACTATGTATTTTTCCTAGAATCGAATTGAAGTGAATTGTAATTTTTAGTAAAAAGAGTCAAAGATTTTTTAAAATCATTTTTCTTAGGTAGTAAATTAATTTAAAGATTACCAAAACACAGGACTTTTCCCCTTTTGAATCCAAAAATGATATACAACTAGAATATTAGGCTCAAAGGAGAGAATCAAAGATTTTTTGAAAAATTTTGTCTTTCATCATAATCATTCAAATAACAAAACCCTGTGCTTTTTTCTATTCCAATCCTTCGTGTCCAAATGTCATTTGAACTTTCAGTTCGGGTCCTTGTGTTAGTATTCTGACATGAAGGTGTCAGTTACTCTGTCCTTGAGGAGTTCCACTCATGTCCTGTTGCTTGAAATTCCCTGTCGGAAACCAAGGCGTCTCAGAATGTTTTAGCCAAAAGATTGGATTCAGTTATTCCTTTGGTATTTTATAGACAGGATCTTGTCATCAGTAGTTTACAGTTAAGGCATTTGGGATTCAAGTCCCTGAGGAAAACAAAGCCCAAAGGCTAAATAGCAGCAGCCTAGTGGTGGGCATGCTCTTGGCCCCTTCCTGCTACAACTGGGGCGAGAGATAATTAATATCAAGCACGATTTCCAAGATTGACTCTATGGGACAAGGGGTTAGCAGATCTACCTTTCAATGCAAGTTTTGTCTTTCACAATATAGGAAGGGGAGCCAGTATTTCACTGTTAACTCCACTAGGAAAAGGAATTGGTTCACGAATTGTAAAGTTTCTAATATCAGAGATGAAGACATAACCACAGAATCACCAAAATATAGAATAAAATGTTTTTTGAACCAGTAACGGGAAGGTTCTCTAGGCAAACACAGGATGATGGTGCTGCCAATGAAATGTGGGGAAACTATTCTGATACACCACTGGGAAAGCAGAGCTGACAATGGCTTTTCCCACAGTACTGGCGCCACTTTCTTTCTTATCTGATGCCAGTGACCACAGGGTTGATGGGAATTTCGGACTCTAAAAAAGATTTGTCCTTGAAGACCCTCTTTTCTTGCTACATGGAAATTCCAGTTGTTTCAATAAAAAATGTTATATCTGTGACAGGAAAAATTCTCCAACATGGGCTTAATGCTTAGAATTCCAGTAGTTTTCCATGGTGAATTTTGGTCCTGTAAATAGCTGCTTAAATATTTAAATATCTGTTTAATATTTGCTCAACAGTATTGTGCAACTCCAATTTATCTTTACTGATTTTCTGTCTGGATGATCTGTTTATTGATGAGAAAGGAGTGTTGAAATCACCCATAATTATTGTATCAGAGTCTACATCTCCCTTTATCTAAGAATGTTTGCTGATGTATCTGGGTGGTCTTGTGTTGAGTGCATATATATTTATGATTATTATGTGGTCTTTCTGAATCAAACCTCTCATAGATATCATTTTCTTTTTTTGTTTCATTTTACGTTTTTTTAAATTTAAAATCTGGCTTATCTGATATAAGGATACCTAATCCAGCTCATGTTTTGTTTTCAGTTGCTTGGTATATTATCTTCCAACCCTTTACTTTCTGTCTATGTGTATCTTTATCTGTGAAGTGAGTTTCCTGTAGGCAGCATATAGTGGGATCTTTGTTTTTTACCCATTCAACCAACCTAAGACTTTTGGCTAGAGAATTTAATCCATTTATATTTAAAATTAATGCTGATAGGTAAGAACTCTCACTTGACATTTTGTTTAGTGGATAGTGATTGTACATGCTCTTATACTTGCTCTGTTAGTGAATTTGGTGGTATCAGGTTTTTTTAATGTTTACTTCTAATACAGGACAACCTTCATAATTCTTTGCAAGGCTCGTCTGGTGGTGGTGAATTCTATGTTTTTGCTTATCATAAAAATATCATGTTTCTATTTCATTTCTAAAAGGTTGGAAGTTTTTGCTTTCTTTTGTTCTCTTTTTTCTTTTATGACCTTGACTATATCATCCCGCTCTTCTGGTCTGTAAGGTTCCTGGGGAAAGTCTGCTTTTAGTTGGATTGACTTTCCTTTATATGTAACTTGATCCTGTCTCCAGGATGCTTTCCTTGTCCCTAACTTTTGACAATCTGACTACAACATGCCTTCAAGAAAATCTTTTTGGTTGAGTCTGCTTGGGTATGAATTTCTTGTGTTTGGGTGTCCCTGTCTTTTTAAAAATCTGGGAAATTTTCAAACATTGTTTCATGTAGCAGCCTCTCACTGCCTTTTCCCTTCTCTTATTCATCAGGAATCCCTATAATGCGAATATTTGTTGGTTTAATGGTATCCCATTATTTCATGAAGCCTTTTTTCATGCTTTTTAATTCTATTATCTTTATTTTTAGCTGATTGGGTTATCTCAAGAGTCTTATCTTTGAGGTTAGAAATTCTTTCTTCCATTTAGTTCATTCTACTATTAAAACTCTCAATAGTATTTTTATTTCACTGATTGAAGATTACATCTCCAAAATTTTGTTTGGTTATTATTGATTTTTTAGTAATATTTTCATTCATATCAGTCATCTATTTCTTCATTTCTTATTTGTCTATCTATATTATCTTGCATTATATTGCTTTTTCTTACAACCATTGTTTTGAATTCTAATTCTGGAATTTCATATATTTCTTTCAGATCAGGATCTGATTCTAGAGAATTACTGTGTTTTTTTTGGAGATGTCATACTACCTTGGTTCTTCATGTTTTCTGTGTCCCTACATTGATATCTGTGTATCTGGTGTAATACTTCTTCATGGAGTAGGTTTTATTTTTAAAGAAATTATGCTTTAGATGAAATGTCAGGTATCATTTAGCTCATTGCTTTGGCTTTGGTTTTCAGTCAGCCCAGAAGTACAGCCTCTCACTGATTTCCTCTGTTTTATTCAATGCCAATTGTGTCTAAAAGTGGCACAGTGATATAGTCCTCTGCAGTTCATGGGAGCAGAAGTGTGACTTTGAGATGAAGTAGGTTTCCTAGGGTGTGGGTCTTAGTCCACAGAGAGTTCAACGTCAGAGTCACAATGAGGATTGTGATGGCCCAGGCATTTCCTGTGGTGCTGAGGGAGAAAAAGGAGCTGCCTACTTTTTTCTCTGGCAAGTCTGAGTGATGTTGGAGCTTATGGCACCAGTGATATGGCTTCTCTTCTTTTAGGACTGTGTAATGTGGATGGGCCCTTCCTGAGTCCTGCTAGGAGAGTGCTACTAGTGCTGTGGCTTATGACAGCAACGTTCATAGCTCTTGGACTGGAGGATCTGAACTGAACCCTGCTCTAGTAATGCAGGATGGCTTCAAGGTAAGGTATACTAGAGATTTTTCTCATGCAGGTATGGGCCCAGAGAGTTGGAATGCAAATGTGTTTTTATTTAGATCCATTGGGTAGATTCCAATGGAACTGAGGCAAATACAGCTGATTCTTAGATTTCTGGTGTTGCAGAAATAGTACAGTAAAGTCATTATCTAAATCGTCTATGGTGGGAGTGGATTTTCTCATGGATTTCTGCTGGTGCTATGCCCTAGAAGCTAAGGGGAATCACCCTGGATCACAGAGAATGAGCAAGTGAAGCTCCAGACCTCATGGCTCAGAACTCCCACAGTTGCGGGTTATCAGTAAAGGCTCTCAGCATCTCCCCATAACTGACCTGCAGCCAAGAGGGTAAGTGTCTATGCTTGCTCTCCCATGGCAGTTATCTTGACACTATACCCATATTGTTTGTAGTGTTGAGCAAAGAATCTGAGCTATTCCTAAAGCTTGAAGGGGCCATGTTTCTTTTTCAAGAACACATTGACTCTACAAGCCATTTCCACTTCCATTTTTGGTACTGGTATCAGGACTAAGACACATGGAAATTTCATTGTGCAATTAGGACTGATTTTCACCATATACAGAGCTAAATTCCAAGTAGTGGGAGGTAGGTGTTTCTCAGCTTAAGCTAACATCAAGCTACTATGATCACTGTTGATGATAATGATGATAAAAGGAATAAGAGGTTATACTTATTACATAGAGTTTATTATTAATTCCATATGATGTTCTAGGCACCACATCATTAACATATTTAATCCAAAACAAGACTGTTATATTGATATTACTATTGCCTCATTGAATAGATGAGGAAAATGGAGGCTAGTGACTTGGGGCAAGGATAAGTGGCCAAAAGAAGATAATTAACTTTGTCCTAGACAACATTTGCTCCAATCATTTTAAGAGCCTGAAAGAATCTGATTCAGGAATGGATATCACCATTGTGAAGTCATTATAAGGAACTGTTAAAGGAAAGAATAGAAAATTATAGGCCTAGAATAAGAGACTAAGAGGGGACTAGCAAATGTGCTACTGAGGAGTATGGACAGACATACATCTGTAATAAGGCTACTAAAGCATGTTTGCCTGGACTTGACAGCTTATAGATAGAAAGGGAAGGAGAATATATTTTGGTTTTCTAAGAAACTACTTAATAGAAATTTTCAAACCCAGTGTTCTGCATATACATTAATGATTACCTATAACAACATGAGTTTGTGCCAGAATTTATCAGAGTCATTCACAATGAGTGCCTTATTTCAAAACTATATTCATAAGTAAATTATTTTATTGAGTACAGCCAAAACTATTCATATTTTTACAATTTCTGACTGTTTATAGGTTCAGAATATAAGCTGATTGCATCATTGAATTAGGTAACTCACAAGCAAGGTGATCTCCACTATATAAAATGCAATATAATAGGCATGTGGATCATATCCTCAATAAATCGCAAGGCCATTTTGTGTTGACACAATCCTTTAAAGAAATTCCAATAGACAATGGCATGCTATCTGGATAATTAGGGCATAGGCTTTTTCTCTGACATTTTAGGAAATTGATTCTGTTATCCACTTCATCTGTGTATACAGACTTTGTTCTAGTGGCTAAATAACTAGACAGACACTAATCAAAGCATGTGCTCTTGTATTACATCTGATCTTTGCTTTAATGATGTTTAATGAACAATGTGGCTCATTAAGTGAATTCAAAATATGAAAATAGATTATGCAAATCAGAGGAACTAATAGCTAACTATTATTAAAATAATTTACTTATCTTTTATTATGGATCAATTATCATGGCAAAGGTTATTTTTATTTAATTTATAATAATCACTACTAATATGTTTAACAGTTGCAAACTGAATCCCATAAACTATATGAGAACATGGAATAATGTTAAAAATACAATACTTTGCAAATGATAACTTTATCTGAGAACTTTGCTGAGAATATGTTCAGAAGAACATTTGATTATAAGCATTAGTTCTTTGATATGTCCATGAGATAGACAAGTAGAGCTAACAAATGAATACTTACATATATATATGTATTTGAAGATATTTGGAGACTTTTGTGTTAGAGATAAAATTTGAAAGTCAATAGTAATTGAAACTGGCCGGCGCCATGGCTCACTTGGCTAATCCTCCGCCTGCGGCGCTGGCATGCCAGGTTCTAGTCCCAGATGGGGCACCGGGTTCTGTCATGGTTGTACCTCTTCCAGTCCAGCTCTCTGCTGTGGCCCGGGAAGGCAGTGGAGGATGGCCCAAGTGCTTGGGCCCTGCACCCACATGGGAGACCAGGAGGAAGCACCTGGCTCCTGGCTTCAGATAAGCACAGCGCGCCAGCAGTAGCAGCCATTTGGGGAGTGAACCAACGGAAGAAAGACCTTTCTCTCTGTCTCTCTCTCACTGTCTAACTCTGCCTGTCAAAAAAAATAGTAATTAAAACTATGAAGATTAATGCAATCAATTCAGGAAATGTTAATTTAGAAGTAAAAGAAAGCTAAAAACAAAATACTGAACAAATAATATTAAATTATGAGAACCTGAAAGAATCTCTAATAAAAAGTCATAAAAAAGAGTGACAGGAAGGGAGATAGAAAGGAAGCAAGATGGATATATATGGGACATATTCAGTACATTTTGGAGGGCTATTAGTCTGGATAGAGGTTGAGAGGCTTGGTTCCAATACAATTCTCCTGTAAGGATTGTAATCTTGTCTATTTTGAGGATATAAACTATCCAGTAAACACTCATATCCATACCTACCCTCAACGTACACACATACACACATGTACAGACATAGATACTTACATACAGCTACATACACCCAAATATTCACAAACACATGTGTCTTGGCCAAAGCCCAATGCTCTACTAGGAGACCCTGGAAAATGAAGTGATAGGAGAGAAGGGAGAGAATTCTATTTGTTTGAAAGGCCATGTAGAATTATGACCTAAGAAAATTATTTCAGTTATAGATAAATGTGAACATTCCAATTAAATGGGAAGTCAGACTTGTTTGATAGGAGGAGGACAATCCAACTTTAATGCAAATAACAAGTGATAAATAACTATAGTTATCATTTAATGTGACCTTATTATACAAGAGGAATTATATTAATAGATAATTTTAAAGAAAATGTCCAAGTTAAACATTTTAACAAACTCAAGACTTAGAATCCAATATTTTACTATTAGATGCTTGGTCAGGACTCTGCTTAACTGAAACTGAGAGCCTGGAACTCAATCCAGGTCTTCCATGTGGGTGGCATAACCTTGTGACTAACAGGAAGCAGATAGGCAAATACTGAAATGAAAAATGGATTCAGGATTTGAACACAGACACTCCAATGTGGGATACTAGTGATCCCACTGCAAGCTTATCCTCTAGGATGAACGCCTGTTCTGATAATACTTTTTTATACAATGAGGGTTCACCTCACCCCAGTTAGAATGGCTTACATAGAGAAATCAACTAACCACAGATGCTGGTGAGGATGTGGGAAAAAAGAGACACTAATCCACTGTTAGTGGGAATGCAAACTGGTAAAGCCACTGTGGAAGTCAGTCTGGAGATTCCTCAGAAACCTGAATATAGCCCTACCATTCAACCCAGCCATCCCACTCCTTGAAATTTACCCAAAGGAAATAAATTGGCAAATAAAAGAGCTGTCTGCAACTCAATGTTTATTGCTGCTCAATTCACAGCAGCTAAAACATGGAATCAACCTAAATGCCCATCAACAGAAGACTGAATAAAGAAATTATGGGATATGTGCTCTCTAGAATACTATGCAGCAATAAAAAAAATGAAATCTGGTCATTTGCAATAAAATGGAGGAATCTGGAAAACATCATGCTGAATGATATGAGCCAGTTCCAAAGGGATAAATATCATATGTTCTCCCTGATCAGTGACAACTAACTGAGTACCAAAAAGGAAACCTGTTGAAGTGAAATGAACACTATGAGAAACACTGATTTGATGAGCCCTTGTTCTGACTGTTGAAGAACAACTTACTATTTTATTCCTTTTAGTATTTTTTTTGTTCTACTTAATACCATTGGTTGAACTCTTTTTTTTTTTTTTGAGACGAAGTATATCAAACTTTATTCCTTGAATTTCACACAAGGAATCAATATCATGTTTTACATTTTATTTCTTATCTCTGTTCTTTTTTTTCTTTTTTTTAACTTTTATTTAATGAATATAAATTTCCAAAGTACGATTTATGGATTACAATGGCTTCCCCCCCATACCGTCCCTTCCACCCACAACCCTCCCCTTTCCCACTCCCTCTCCCCTTCCATTCACATCAAGATTCATTTTCGATTATCTTAATATACAGAAGATCAGCTTAGTATACATTGAGTAAGGATTTCAACAGTTTGCTCCCACACAGAAACATAAAGTGAAAAATAATAGATGATTTTTTTTAAATGATGATGAAATCAGATCAGACCTATTGTCATGTTTAATCCCAGTGAGAGTCAAGTTGGGAATTGATAATTTCTTTTTTATTTTTTTTTACAGAGGATCAGTTTAGTATGCATTAAGTAAAGATTTCAACAGTTTGCACCCCCATAGAAACACAAAGTGAAATATATTGTTTGAGTACTCGTTATAGCATTAAATCTCAATGCACAACACATTAAGGACAGAGATCCTACATGAGGAGTAAGTGCACAGTGACTCCTGTTGTTGACTTTACCAATTGACACTCCTGTCTATGGCATCAGTAATCTCCCTATGCTTCAGTCATGAGTTTCCAAGGCTATGGAAGCCCTCTGAGTTCTCCGATTCTTATCTTGTTTAGGCAAGCTCCTAGTCAAAGTGGAGGTTCTCTCCTCCCTTCAGAGAAAGGTACCTCCTTCTTTGAAGACCTGTTCTTTCCACTGGGATCTCACTCACAGAGATCTTTTGCAAGAGTGTCTTGGCTTTCCATGCCTGAAATACTCTCATGGGCTTTTCAGCCAGATCCGA